AAAGGTTTATTTTTCCTGAATAGTGTTAAGCTGACGAATTATTTGAACATTAATTATATCAATCCATGTGGAGACGATTTAACTATGCTATCTCTGACTAGCGAGCCTAAATTTTATACACCGATTTTACGCTCGTCAGATCATCGGTAGAAGTAGCTGGATACGTTTGTGAGCCTTTGGAACCCAAGTTCGTATCATTTTTTGAGGTCCCCTTCTCTTTTTTGTTAGGCCAGTTTGTTTTGATTCCTCCTTCTTCAATTCTCGCGGCTTTTGTGTAGCACAATTATGCCCTATCATTAAACAATCTTCACAATACTCTGATCTCTATTCAAAAATCATTGTCTGCTGAAATATCTTCCATGAGGGATCCATCATAATTATTTCAGATGGTAGAGGTTTGGTGACATTAACTTCTATAAGCATTCCAGCAAAAGAGATTCTGGTTTGCTTTGTCGTGCACTCATATGCATATTTAGGTAGGGGTGGGCATTCGGTATTTTGGTTCGTTATATAAGAATTTCGGTATTCGGTTTATCAATTGTGTATACCAAATACCGTACCAAATTATTTCAGTACGGTTCGGTATTTTTTATTTTGGTTCGGTATGATTTCGGTTTAATAATCGCTAAATAAATAAACTTAAATTTGGTTCGATACCGTAGCACCAAACTGGAAACAATTAAACTTTGCAGAAAGTATTTCAGTGCTGACTTTTCAGATCAAGAAACAAAGTAGACAGTTAATTAACAAAGTGTTCAAGCAGATAGAGCCATAGAGGCATCCAGTAGTGTTTGTAATTTTAAGTATCCAAGAGTGCATGAGTGTGTTTTGTTTCAATGAAAACACCATATTTAAAACAAAATAAAAACTAAGAACTAGTTTTTGCTGGTAATTGATAACGATTGGTGACAGAAGAACGTAATCGTTTAAACTATTTTGCTTCTGCAATTGAGATTCTGCATAGTGCATACGCCCAGGTAAGGGAATAGCAGAAAAACCTAAGTTAGTGAAAGAATTTTGGGTTATTCATTATTGGATTGGGTCTTATTGGGTTGGGCTCCAACACTAAAAATAAAAAATTTGACTTTTGGGTCGGCACTTGGGCTGGGGCACTGGGCAGTCAACTCCTACATCATTTTTAAAATTTCGGTATTTCGGTATACCGAATTGTCGAGATCCTAATACCAAGGACCGTACCGAAATATCGAAATACCAAAAATTTAGTATCGAATTGAACCGAAATACCGAAAAAAATCGAAACTGAAATACCGAATTAATTTCGGTCCAGTTCGAAATTCGATATTTCAGATTTTATGCCCACCCCTATATTTAGGTACACCAATAGAACTCGCCATTCTTCTCAGTAAGTCCGACTCCAGCAGTTCATGGGCAGGCTTGGAACTTAACCCATAGAGGTAATTCTACGAAGAACTCTTCATAAAATCAAATTCAGGAGTCCATTGCTTTAAGATCAAATGTATGTTGTTAATACTGCAAGGCCCGCAAATAGAATTTCATTCAGATCTGTGCTTTGGAAAATTTAACAACATAGTAGCCCTCCTCATGATAATAGATTTTAGGTTCTGCAACAATGTTCTAGTTTTGCTTCACATATTTCTTCATATAGTTATAGCCAGGTGTTGCTCTTATCACATATACTATTAATGTAGATTTCCATTTATCAATTTCCTTGTTTGTTTCTTCTTTGTCAATCTTAACCATTACATTTACTTAAACCAACTCTGGAGGTATATAATTCAAAGATATACCATTGGTTGCAGCTCGATTGCGAGTGAATAGTCCAATCCAAGTGGGATTTGGAGATTGTCTTTCATTGCTGATGCAGAATTTCTCAATGATGATACCTTGGTCTTTGGAACATTTATGCTTGTGCCTCCTTGTGGCCCTTCAATTCCTTTCAATTGTGCCTTTGGATCTCTACTGAGGTTTAATTTCTTAATCATGGTGGTCAATTTAGCTTCCGACACCAAGGGTGAAAAAGACAGGCATTGTGTCGCTACTGGTGTTACAATTCTCTGTTCATTGTCATTTTCTAGGGTTTCTGCTACTACCTTAGCACCGACTGAGCTTCCCACTATTACGTATTGTTTGTATTTTCGGTCGACCTCGCCCTCTGGCCATGGCTACCACCATCGGATGGTGTAGGTTAGCTTAACGTGCATCGAGAGCCATAGGCTAGAGAAAGGATTGGTAGTGTTCGTCCTGAATTTCTACTCAAAGAAAAGCATAAATTCAGGAACTTGGGCCAAATTCTATACTCCTCTGGTGGGCTTTTGTAAAGGTGATTAACCAGTAATGCATATGTTTCCATTTTACTCACTGCTTCTTGTTTATGTTTTAACTCACACACCCTTTTGTGAAATAGTTGTGTCTCATCTTCTTCATTTATTGTAATTTTATTTCCTTTATGTTGACCCACATGGGTGCCCCAAACTTATTTCCTAAAAGAAAGACATATTAAGAATCACTTGTTCTTATAATTTGTTAAGCTTGTAATTTTTCCTGTCTTTCGATGTGCAGTGAAATAATCTTGTATACTTAATTTTCTGAGCCTAAATTTAAAACAATTAGTCTCTTTGAACAATGGAGATTTGAACAAATGAAAGTAAGAGATAATTGTTAATGCATAGACAAGTTGTAGAGTCTGTCTCTAACATAAGTCTCGTAATTATATTTTATGGTCAAAGGAAGAGCGAAGAGAAAAATGATAAATTAAAAAGAAATAGCAACAAAATGAGGCCTACTAGAATATGTGCGATGTGCAACTCACCACTCCATACTAGGGCCATATGCAAAAAATCTTATCTGAAGACCATTAGCTAGAATATATTTGTACAAAAATTAGCTTTTTATTCAGTGCTCGTAGATGTCAGTAAAGAAAACCTATAATCTTAACTTGTAGGGGCGGCTCCAAGGTAAGGCAGATAAAGCCAAGATTATAAAATAATATATTAGTATTATATGAATAATACGATTATTATTAAGAAAAAAAATCAATTTTTTATATTTTAAAATTTTGATTGAGGTTGTATGATTGAGTAAGTAAATAACGATAATTATTTTCTTTCATTAAATTAAATAGTATATTTACCTTCTCTCTCATTAAATAGTGCATTTTTAATGTTTTGCCGATTTATCTCTCTAATTTCAACTCATATTCTCCGTATTAGCTGTTTCTTTTTATCATATTTGAGTGATTTATATATCAGAAAGCAAGTTCTTTTGTGTCTCATATCTTTTAACTAAGAAACTCTCAAAGGTAATATGCAAGATTCGAACACGGTGGAGCCCACGCTTCTATCATTTTCCACTTAAATATTATACTTTTGTACGGGGAGAGTTCGAAAAAGAGATGTGAGCCTAACCTGCACTTTATGCGTTCTGCAAGTTAGGGAAAACTTTGATATATTCTAACTTAGGGAAAATAAAAACATAGGGAAAATACATGAGTTATTCCCTAAACTTGTCTCGAAAAATTATTTACATATTCTAACTTTACGAGTGTCTTTTAACCCCCTATTCTAATTCAAAGTAGAATTAATACCACCCTGAGAGATGATGTGGCAGAAAGAGCACTCTCCTTAAAAAGAGTGAAAGGGAAAAACAAGTGAAAATAGATTAATGGCATTTGTTATTTTTTAATTGGATAGTACATAATTGACTAGACTAATTTTTGGCGGGCCTCTTTTCTTTTTTCATTCTCTTTTTCTCTTCCTTTCCCTCAATCTTCTATCTTCACGTGCAAAACTACTCTGGTGCCTCCAAAGACTCCACCATTGCAAGTTCTCCAACTCCAAGACAAACCTTATTTGGTTAAAATCACGAGTAATAACCCATGAAAACACTTTTGTGTCTCCTCTTTCAACAAAATCACATATTGGGTTTGCAGTCTCTATATATACAAAAGGGGTCCATAAATTTTTCGTGGTAATAATTAAATTTGCGAGGTATAAATTTGTGTTTATGAATATATCCTTTGACACAGCTTAAGCACGAATTTCCCACATTACTTGTTGGACAGTACAAGCCCAATAAACCATCGGCCCATTTATAGATGAAATAGCACATTTGTACAGGATACACTCTTACATATAATAGACACATTTTTATAATAGCTAGCCACATTTTACTTTTACTTGATAGCCAATTCTATTTGTATATAAACAGAAAGATGCTTCTAGAATAATAGAATAAGAAAGACATTTTCATTTCAATAAGATCAGATATTTTCTCTCTCTTCGTTTCTCATTCCTTCTTCTCTGATAATGGAGTTTTACACTGTAGTCGAGCCTTTCTTCACTTGACATGGTATCAGAGCCAGGTTCGGTATCAGCTCTCTTATGCGAATCGAGAGATGTTACCCTCGACCTTAGTTTCACAAGTTTCGATTTCATCTACAAACCCTAATATTCCAAAATTTGGGGTTTTACATATTAATGTGGATGTTGTGGTCGATTTCTTCAAAGATGAAGCTTTTCTGAGTCTATTCATAGAGTTTTGACTGCATCTCAAAGTCTCGACAGGTTCTCATTATTTCAGAAGAAGAGCGGTATTATCTACTCTTACTCCTATTTGTTACTGTATGTATATGATTCTAGTTTGAAATTTCCTTAGAGATATCATTTGATTTTAGAAATACTAGCTGCTACCATGACTATAGATGCTCACACTATGTCTTCGTCCACTTCATTTGAGGGTTTTGCTACTTTTAGTCTAGATCCTTCTCACCCTTTCTATGTTCATCCGTCGGATAGTCCTAGTACTCATTTAGTTTCTCCTCCGTTTGACGGTACTAGTTTTGTTGCATGGAGGAAAAGTATGCTTATTTCTCTGTCTACCAAAAATAAATTGGGTCTGATTAATGGTCAGCATGATAAACCTTCAGTAGATTCTCCTTATTATCCCTTTTGGGAAAGGTGCAATGACATGGTGATCGCTTGGATCACCAATTCTCTCTCTAGGGATATTGCTACCAGTGTATGGGGTACGACACTGCTAGGGATATCTGGTTAGATATAAATGAAAGATTTGGACAGTCTAATGGGTCTAAATTCATCCACATTCAAAGGAAGATTGGAACTATCTCTCAAGGGACTTCAGATATTGCATCTTATTTTACTAGGTTGCGAAGTCTTTGGGATGAAATGAGTACTGCATATGTGGGTCCTGTTTGTTCTTGTGGTGTCTTACCCAAATTCATTGAAGAACTCAAGCTCTTTTGGTTCTTAGCTGGCCTTAATGAATCTTACTCTACAGTTAAAAGTAATATTCTTATGATATCTCCACTCCCTACTGTTAGTAGAGCTGATTCTATGTTACAACATGATGAGAAACAGAGGGAATCTTCTCACACACCAGGCTTCTCCAATGAGTCAGTCTCTTTCTCTGCATCTTTTGCTCCTTCTGGTAATCAGAAAAGTTTTAATCAAAGGGTTCAGTTTGAGTCAAGAAAGCCTGGGAAGGTGTGGGGGTTTCATGCAAGTATTGTAAAAAGTCAGGGCACACCATTGAGAAGTGTTACAAACTGCATGGGTTCCCTCCTGATTTCAAGTTCACACGGTCAAAAAGGTCTGCCTCATGTGTTCATGCTGACACTTCATCCATTGAGTCTTCAGTTCAAGCTCCTCTTTCCCAACCTGGGACTTCATCTACTCACGGTTTAAGCCAGGAGCAATATCAGCATCTTGTCTCTCTTCTACAGCAAGCAAATATTTCTCCTGGTACCAACAACAATGGTTCTTATGGAGAAACTTTTGGCTTCGCTAATTTTGCAGGTTTGTTGAAAAGTTCTGTGGTTAATTTTGTTGATTTTCATGTTTGTGCATCTTCTCAGTTAATTGATGATACTTGGATTTTAGATTCTGGGCTACTAACCACATGACACCTTATTAACAGTTTCTTCACAACTTAAAACCATTACCTAAGCCATTTTTAATCACGGATATAAAGTCAAGGTTGTTTCAACTGGCTCTTTACACCTTAGGGCTGACATAACCTTGCATAATGTTCTGCTTGTGCCTTATTTTCAATTTAACTTGATCTCAGTATATCAACTCCTTCTTCAACTTAATTGTCTTGCCATACTCACCATTTCTACTTGCTATTTACAGGGCCCTTCTCTGAAGAGGCACTGGAAATTGGTAAAGCTACTAATAGTCTGTACTTTCTCCACCTTGATGATACTGCTTCGCCATCTCTGTCAGTCCCATCTGCTGCTTACAATGTTTCTGATTTTACTGCATCTTCTTCTCCTATTTTAATTAATCACTCTTGTAATGTTTCTACTTCTGCACCTAATCCTATAACTTCTCTTCCCCTTACTCCCCATTGTAATTCAATTTCTAGTATCAATAAAATTGATCTGTTTTGGCACCAGAGACTAGGCCACATACCTTTTGCTAGAATGAAGTCTATTCCTTTTGTTTCAAGCAAGGTTTCTTCTGAGCAATCTTTTATTTGCTCTATTTGTCCTATGGATAGACAACAAAGATTACCATTTCCTGATAGCTCCATCCACACATCTGCTCCTTCCAATTAGTACACATTGACATTTGGGGACAATACAACACTAATACCTATGATGGTTTTAGATATTGTTTGACTTTAGTGGATGAGTTTACAAGAGTCACCTGGACTCATCTCCTCTCATGCAAGGGCAATGCTTTGTTTGTTATTAAAGCCTTTACTTCTATGGTAATCACACAATTCCACACTTCAGTTCAAAGTTTTATATCTAATAATGCTTTTGAGCTTGGTACTAGTTCTGAGGCCAAATCCTTCTTCTCTTCCCAAGGTATTTTACGCCAGACCATCATTCAACACACTCCACAACAAAATGGGGTTGTAGAAAGAAAACATAAACATCTACTGGAAACATCTCGAACTTTATTGTTTCAATCTAACTTACCCTCCAAATATTGGGGTGATTGTGTCTTAACTGCTACCTACCTTGTCAATAGATTCCCTTATACTGTTTTGAATAATATCTCCCCTTATGAAAAACTTCATAATCACCCTCCTTCCTATGATCATCTCAAGTCCTTTGGTTGCTTATGTTTTTCCACCTCACCTAAGCTTGGGAGGGATAAGTTCCAATCTAGGGCCATTTCTTACATCTTTCTTGGTTATCCTTGTGGAAAGAAAGGATACAAACTCTTGAATAATCCACTCATTCCATTTTTTACTCTAGGGATGTTGTATTTCATGAGTTTGTCTTTAATTATGCTTCCCATTCTTCTCCTATTTTCATAGCTCCATCTCCTGAATTTGTTGATATTCCTTCTCCTACCTCTTCTGCCCCATCAGTGTCCACTTCCTCCTCTTCTCCAGGTTCTGCTCCTGTTTCTTCTCCTCTTCCTGCTCTTCCTCCTCTGTCGCACCTTGTGCTTCTCCACCCCTTAGGAAGTCTCTTAGGGTGATTAATCCTCCTCCCTATCTTTCTGATTATGTTTGTTCCAATGCTCAGTATTCTGTCCCTCCTAATTCTAAGCTATCCACTGCTGAACTGCACTTGCATGAGCCTCAGTTTTACCAACAGGCTGCCTCCCATCCTGCTTGGCAAGAGGCAATGCTAAAGGAATTTTAAGCTCTTGAGGCTAATCACACTTGGGACATAGTCCCTCTTCCTCCCAACAAGAAGCCCATTCCTTGCAAATGGGTCTATAAAATCAAGCAGAAGTCTGATGGTTCTATTGAGAGGTACAAGGCTAGGTTGGTGATTAGAAGGGATACTCAGAAAGAGGGCATTGACTACAATGAGACCTTTTCCCCCGTAGTCAAATTCACTACCATTAAATGCCTCCTCTCCCTTGCTGCCAAAAAGGGTTGGACAGTCTACCAACTAGATGTCAATAATGCTTTTCTTCATGAGGATCTTAATGAAGATCTCTATATGAAAGTTTCCCCTGGCTTGCAAGTTTCTGCTTCTTCTACACAGTCATCCTCAACTTCTCCTCTAGTTTGCAAGCTCAAGAAGTCTTTGTATGGCCTCAAGCAAGCTTCTAGACAGTGGTTTTCTAAGCTGTCTGGAGCTTTGCTCTCTAGAGGCTACATTTCTAGCAAAAATAATTATTCCTTATTCATAAAATGTGTTGTTGGTTCTCTCACTATGCTGGCTGTATATGTTGAAGATATTTTGTTAGCCGGGGATGATCTTTCTGAGTTGGACAGTGTCACAGCCTTCCTCGATGCACAATTTAAGATTGAAGATTTGGGTTCCATTCACTACTTCTTGGGTCTGGAGGTCTCTCACACTTCTCAGGGGTTTGTCATGAGCCAACAGAAGTTTACTTATGATCTACTAGCTGAATTTCAGTGTCAGAATTTCTCTTATGTGTTGACACCTCTTGATTCTTCCATCAAATTGGTAGCTGACATGGGAGAACCATTATCGGATCCCAGCACTTATCGGAGGATCATTGGGAAGCTAAATTTTCTTCAACATACCCAGCCTGATATTGCTTTTTCTATGCAACACCTTAGCCAATTCCTGCAGGCTCCTCAAATTCCTCGTATGCTGGCTGATATCCATGTTCTTAGGTATTTGTCTGCTGCTCCTGGTCTTGGTATCTTACTCTCCAACTCTTCTAATTATTCTCTCCCGGCCTATGCTGATTCTGACTGGGCTGCTTGTGCCTAGTCTTGCCGGTCTGTCACTGGTTATTACATCACACTTGATGGTTGTCCTATTTCTTGGAAGAGTAAAAAGCAGCCCACCATCTCATTATCTTCTGCTGAGGCAGAATACCGTGCCTTGCGCATGGTTGTAGCTGAAATTTTTTGGCTGATAAGGATTCTGGCTGACCTTGGGCTGTTGATCTCAGCTCCTGTACCCGTTTATTGTGACAGTCAGGCATCACTTCACATTGCTCGAAATCCTGTTTTTCATGAGCGTACGTAACACATCGAGATTGATTGCTATTATATGCGCGACAGTCTGCATTCTGGCCTGGTTTCATTTCATTTTGTTCCCAATTCTGAACAAGTGGCTGACATATTAACCATGTCTCTTGCTGGCCCTCTCCATCATTATCTATTTGGCAAGCTTGGTGTGCTATCGCCCTCCAGCTTGAGGGGGGTGTTGGACAATACAAGCACAATAAACCATCGGCCCCTTTATAGATGAAATAGCACATTTGTACAGGATACACTCTTACATGTAATAGACACATTTTTGTAATAGCTAGCCACATTTTACTTTTACTTGATAGCCACTTCTATTTGTATATAAACAGAAAGATGCTTCTAGAATAATAGAATAAGAAAGACATTTTCATTTCAATAAGATCAGATATTTTCTCTCTCTTCGTTTCTCATTCCTTCTTCTCATAATGGAGTTTTACACTGTAGTCGAGCCTTTCTTCACTTGACATTACTAGATTTCTCTGGATACAAAACTCTTGTCAAGAATAATAGGAAGGCTGCCATAGCAATCGACTTGCTATGTTTGGAAAATATTGTTTCGGCTTATATTATTTCTCTTTTATGTTACTCAACAAAATCAACTCTAGTTCATTTGGAAAAGAAATAAATCTTCAGTGATTGATCATGGCAGATCTGTCATGCTCAGTTATGTCACTTTATTTGCACGGAAATATCAACTCTCACCACTAGAAACCCGATGGAAGCCATCTCCTTCGCCTCACTGCCACAACAAACCACCAATATCCCCTTTCACCACCAAAAGTACGCATGCCTTCCTATCTTACCATGAACGCCCACGACCAATGGAGTTTCTGGGAAGGATTTCAAGAAATGAAAATGAAAGAGTTAAATAAAAATTGAAAAAGGAGAGAAAAATCTAATTAGATGGCACCTGACGCAAATCTGATGTGTCATCTGATGTGGCGGCATGTGTAATACACCACCAGCCTCAAGATTCGCGGAGCATTCTCAGGATGATACAAATTCCACTTTGAATAAGAATAAGGGGGTAAAAAAGACGCTTGTAAAGTTATAGTGTGTAATTGAGTTTTCAGAACAAGTTTAGGGGGCAACTTATGAATTTCCCAAAAACATATGAGTATTCTTGCAATACTTGTGATTTTACTCATTGCAACTATATGCGGGGCTTATAGCACTTTTTCTTCTCAAGGAAACTACAGAAAAGAAAGAATTGTTCCTCTATCCAACCTTGTTCCTTCCATGTTATTGACGTCTGAGCCGGTAACATATTAAAAAGATTTGTTGAGCATGTTATTTACATCCAATACTATATTAAAGAATTTATGGAAATCAACCAAAAAAATATACTGGTAAGTACGGCGCGGAGGCAACGATTCAAGAGGCAAACGGTAGATGAACATTCTCTTTTGCATTATATAGAACACTAAACACAGTCGGTCTATTCTTGTAGTGGCAACAATACGTGTTATGAAAGAAAGGCAAAAGCACAAAAGAACTCCGAGGTCCGTTGGGGCTTTAAGGGCAAAGCAAACAAAGTGTGGGCTTTAATGAGAAAGGCGCAAATAGAAAAAATACAAATATTTATGTGCGTTCCAAAAGTAATAATTATAAGCATGAATTACAAATATACGAACAAAGAAATTGCAAAAAATATGATGAAGTAAAATACAAATTAATTATCTGCCTCTTTAGGATTATGCTTATTGACAAGGAAAAATATGTCTTAGAGCCTTGATGACGAATCTGAAGCAAAGCAAAGCAAAGTGATCAACAGATTTGGCGAGGCGGTAGATATTGGGGGGCAATTTTCAGGACCATTTTGAATTTACTTTCCAACACCCTTTTCTCAAAAGACTTAACGGAAAATATGTCAATTCTGGTAAAGAATTCAAGGATTTGGGGGAGGGAATGATGATGGACTTGGGTAAACCAAACCTGGTGGATTAATCCCATTTGAGCTAATTAATTCTATTTTGAGAGGCCGCGATTTTGAGTTAATTCCATTTGGTGCTGGCCGAAGAATATGTCCCGGTTTACCATTGGCAATAATGGTCCCTGTAATGTCAGGCACACTGTTGAATACTTCTAAATGAAAAATTGAGGGTAATATTGCACCAAAAGACTTGAACACGCAGGAGAAATTTGGCCTCACATTGGCCAAACTTCATCCTGTGCGAGCTGTCCCCTTCCCCCCTGAACTCCGAAAGATGGCTTCCTATATGTGTTGTCTACACAACACATATAGGTTGTTTAGAGTCACCAGGGGCGGCTCAAGCATATACGGCCTAAATTTCTAAAAGAAAGTTATAAGATTTGTTTTTGTTTGAAATGTATTCTTCTAACTTTTTGAGAAACAAAGTTATTAAGTAATTTTTTTTATTATCGATTTTCTCTGATAGTTCATATTCAATTGATAATCTAACCAACTCATTTAATCTTTTTTGAGATCACTACCAGAAAATGGGTCTATGGCAACGGATGTTTTTGCAACGGTTCAAAAACCGTTACTATAGATAGGTTATTGGAACGGTTTTAACCGTTGCGATATGACATGGGTGATACCAGTACACTGTGGCTATAAAATCGTTGCATTTAGGTAAAAATCGTTCCCATAGTGTTTATTTTTTGCAACGTTTGTTTTAACCGTTCCAATAAATACATTTATTGGAACGGATCTTGAAAAAAAATCAATCGGAGCGGTTGTTCTTTTCATCCTGAAATTTTGCCCCCTAAATTTTCGTAAACCCGCGCTTTTGAACCCCTATTTTTACATTATTTTTTTAATTAATATTATTTCATAAAACACCATTTATTTGTTCTCCTAAGTAATATGCCCTAACCTCTTTCTCCGATCCCCTTTGAGCGTACCACCAGAACCTCCGTCCGCCAATATCTGCTATCGACCTCCGTCTCACCTGCCAATATCCCGCTGTCAACCTCCGTCAACACTAGCAGAACCTCAATTGTCTTTTTCCTCCACCTATAAACTTTATCTCCTCCATCAGAAACAACAACTATTCAATTAATCAAAGCTCTATGGTTTCAAATAGTCCCAAAATTCTAGGTTTTTTTTTCTCGATTAAGCTCGACTACAACTCCTTTTTCTCACTGAGCCTTGATTCTAGGTTTTCGCTCGACTCTCGCAAATTTTCTGATTTATTTTGCATGCTCTTCTTTTGTTCCTTTTGTAATTTCTCAATAGTTGAGTCGCAACTTGCAGATTCCATTAGCGAGGATGAAAATGCAACTGATAGCTGTGGGATAAATAATTGTAAGTTTTCTTAAACTCTTTTTAATATAAACCGTTGTGATTTTGGATGAAAATTTCAGTTTTAATGTTCCTTTTTTACTCGATTCAGTGATTTTATTTTATTTTTGGGAGTAACTGAGTGATGTAGTGTGATTGAATGGAGATTCAAATCCATATGACACAAGCATTAAAACCTATTTACTCGGACTTAACAATTACTGGAACTTGGGATTTTTGGTTTTTATGGATTTTCTTAGTTATCATTTTCATGTAAAAATTTTGTGTTATGAGGCTTTTTTTGTTGATGTATATGATTTAAGAATAATCTTGTCTTTCTAATAGTTTGATGCTTGTGTTTGAAACAAATATAGTATTCGACGAATGTGTTGGATTATTTTAATCCAACAGATCTTGAGTCTATATTTATTGTTAATGATTTAGGGAAATGAAGGGTCCAGTCCATCGGAAAAAATTTTGTGGTTATGCTCGTGGTGAAGTGGTTATCCAGTATTGTTTCATGCCCTCTACATGTTTGTACTACATGTTTATTTGAATGGAATGAAGAGACTGATATGGAACATATCAAATTTGGTGCTCCTAATTAGCTGTGCTTTGTTGTAAATTCTTCTTATTGAAGTCATAAGCTAGCTAACTTCTTACTGTAGTACTTTCTATTTCTGGTTAATCTGCATTTGGCTTCAGTGTTCTGACCTTATTTGCAATTTGCATCTAGCATTTACTAGTATTATAGTGACAGCTTTTACCTGCAATAGCATTGATGCAGTTTCAAATCGCGATTTTTCATGGAGTTCCTTTCTGCAAATTCCATCACTGCTAAAGAATTTGGTTTCACTGCTTAGATAAAGATTCCTCAAGTTAATGTTTCCTTCTTTAGCAGTGATTGATCTAAGTAGTTCAATTTTAGTATATCTTTGCTTTTGTATAGCGGTAATAGTTCTCTTCGCCATAATTTTCTATTTTCTTATAGTCAATTAAGTTACTTTAAATTTCAATAAGAGAAATAAGGAGCCCGTATTTGATAGTGTCAAGACAAAAATTTGGATGCTTGAGATATCTGTAGAGTTTGCACATAATGTTACCTTTAACCAAGAGAGAATACAAAAGGACCTACTAGGTTAATATCAGCTGAGAGAGATAATTCTGTTTTTTAGTCTTGGGATTTGCGTCCTTGCTCTTTTATGACTGATTTATCTAGTTACCTACGTATATGTTGCCTTCTAAAACTGTATGTATCCAATATTGTTTCCTGTTGGTGTTCACTAATGTCCTCCTGTAATTATTTCTACAGCACTTATTGCTAATTTTAATATACTACTTTTAACACTAAAAAAAAGAAACAAAAGAATTAAACGAGAGACATGGAATAGAAGGCAGAATTACCATTTCAGTTCTCATACTGTTAAAAGATAAGGTACAGATTTGAAATCAATGATATGTTCTAAAAAAAGGTTATAATCAAAGCATAAGCTATCATTCTAGAACTAGCAATGAGCTACAGGAAAAGAAATTATGCCAACAGAGGGAACTCTGCCATGCGGCTTTCACGAAAGATAGAAATAGCAACATAATCACAGTTTCTCCCATATAATTACTACACCGCAGAGCAGAAGGGATCAGGTTCTTCTATATAGTCATCCATGCTCTAAATGACCAGAACACAAGTCACCTTAAGAAGCACATCAATTGCAACAAATGTTGATTACTGGAATGCAGCTCTGTTTTCTTCTACACAATAGAATGCATGCTAACAAGCTAGTGTTATTTGAGACAGCTTGGTCTCAGATTAGGCCAACTCCATTTACCTATTTTTTGTTGTTGTTGGTTTTGCTAACCAATATAGTGTTTTCTTTTTAGACTCTGAAAAATATTTGAATAGTCATGAATCAAGAAGGGCGCTCAAGCAAAAATAAGAAAATATGCAACCGTATTCCAGCTGGATCACTTGCATCTTTGTGAAATCAAAGGGTTTCGTCGTTGACAACATAAAGAACCTTTCAAGCTACAAGGTCAAATGAAAATGAAGAATGACAATCAGAAGCTAGATTACCTCTATCTTTGCAAACCCAAAAGGTTTCGTCGTTGACAACAAAAAGAGTCTTTAATATAAGGTCAAATGCAAATGAAGAACAACAATCAGAATTAGGATCTCAATTGCAAGAACAGGTGCAGCAAGTGCCACGGAATTCAGCGTCTAAACCCAGAATTGCGACTTGATCCTGACATGCTAAGGTTCGTATAAGCTTCCTCTGCACACCAAGCTGCCGTTCAACTAAACAATCGACCATATGCTGGTAGTAACAATCAAGGTCAGTACTTACCAAATGTTATACATCTTCTTCTATTTCTTCTTTTTCTCCTCCTTCCTTGTGCTTCTTCTTTTACCACTTCTCTCTCTCGCAAAGTCTAACTAGTTTTTTTACTTTGCCTATGGCACTTAGTCACGAGAAGGAAAGAAATGAAAAGAGAATACCTAACATTTGGAATAGTCGCCAAATGTATGGCCTGTGCCTTGTGGTATTTGGCACTTGATAGTGATATTTTTTGTGTTGTTGACTGCCTTGTTGGCTTGTTGGTTGTTTTCATTAAGTTTATTTGTTGTGCTGCTCTTTATATGTTGGCAATGGTATTTGTTAACTGGTAGTGGTATTAAGTATTTGTTGTGCTGCTCTTTATATGTTGGAAGTAACATGATTTGAAAGGAGTGATGTCTAGTGGACTAGTAGCAGGAAACAAGGAGGAAGAAGGGATTATATTATTGTTAGCAGAAGATGATGATGCATTTAATCCAGCACCTTTGTCACCTTGTCCAACAGTAGCATCATTTGAGAATGTTGTGATGAATTCTCCAACAGCTTTTGGTGATGCAAATGGACTATCTGGCAGATTCTTAATGGCTTCTTGAATCTCTTCTGCCCGTCTGCTCTTTTCTTCTGCTATCATCAATTCATTACCATGATGTTATCATAGCTGCTGGTACTTTTGCTAAAGGAGCTTCATATTTTGGATATGCTCCTGGAACAGCACGAGGTATTGCGCCACGAGCTAGGATAGCTGTGTATAAGTTTAGCTTCGAAGAAGGAACTTTTTCTTCTGATTTGGTTGCTGCTATGGACCTAAGCTGTTGCAGATGGTGTCGACATTCTGACCATTTCTTATGGGTGGTCTAACATTCCATTGTATAAAGATTACAGGATTTAGCTTATTTCTCTATGATTGTGTTTCTTGTATGTCCTAATTGCTGTAACTGATGAAGTGTTTGGCCTGTTACATCGAAATGTATCCAAATTTCCATCTGGTAACTGCTGCCTCGATCCTAAGTACCTGTGCATTCTGTGTGTCATGTGTATTGTCCATCATTGCTGGGTTCTTGACTGTTGTTAAGGCAATTAGAAGTTGAGCATGATGCTCAAAATCTATCATAGTATCACAATTGCCCAGCAAACTCCTATACTCGGTCAATTTTTATGTTGTGCGAATCTTGCTTGCATCTGCCCTTAGTTGTGACTTGTCCTTGTTGTCTCTCATTTTTCTTGAGTTCCAGTGAGTGTGGAAGGATATAGGTGTGTATGACTATTGATTGCAGCCTCCATCTCAAAAAAGAAAACGATGTTAAGGACATTTTAGCTGTGGCCTTGAATTCTGTCCAAAGTGTGATGTACTTGTTTTTCTTTCAAGCTATGGCTTAGTTTATCTTGAAGAGTAATGACTTTATTCATCCTCTTTTGTAGGTGGAGTAAATCAAGAAATCGAAGAAGATGATGAAAGTGAAGAACTAGACCTTACTTGAGATTGAATTTTGAATGGCTATAGATGAATGTTCTATAGGAATCTTTTGTTATCAACCTTTTTGAAACTAATTACTCTCTTGAAATGTATTAAACTTATGCATTTGGGGTAGAACATTTGCTTTATATGAATACTATTTGCTTGATGGATAATTTGTATTATTAAAAGTTTGATTTTATGATTTATAAAATTTTTAGTGTTATAATTTATTTTATATATACATAAATATTTATTTATTACAGGGGCTATATTTTTGTATCAACTGAACTGTTCCCACAGAAAACTAAAACCGTTGCGATAGGTCATATAAACCGTTCCATAATGAAATATTAATTGTTCCCACAGAAACCAAAACCGTTGCGATAGGTCATATAAACCGTTCCATAATGAAATATTAACTGTTCCCACAGAAACCAAAACCGTTGCAATAGGGATAAAGGAACCGTTGTTATATCCATATATAATCGTAACAATAGCTTACAAAAGTGTTGCATTAGATAATATGGTAACGGTTAAGAACCGTTCCATTTGGAAAATATAACCGTTCCAACAGAGAAAAAGAAAACCGTTGCGATAGATGCATCTATAACCACGGAGATGCAAACCGTTGCACGAACCGTTCCCGTAGACCTATTGCCACGAGGGCTGATGGAACGGTCCGTAAACCGTTCCCATATCCATATGGCAACGGTTAAGCAGTCGATGGGAATGGTTTTACAACCGTTACCGTAGGACAATTTTTCAGTAGTGGATATTGTTGATCTTAGATAAGATTTTATAAAGCAATAGGAGTATAGAACTATTGGAAACTTAAAAGTATTGTTGAACGCTTGAACTAATGAAATCATTCAGAAAAAAGTGAGTAATGAAATCTTGGAGAAAGAAAATGAGTAAGAATATCGAAGAGAAAGACAGAAAATATATAGGATTTTTTGAACTATGAAGAGAATAGAAAAAAGAAAGATTGAGTTGGACAAATTAAGGAGAGAGAGAGCAAATTTTTTAATGGAGTAAAAAGTGGAAAACTGAAACGTTGGGAAAACTATTCATCTACCCATTTTTAAGTAAGTCAAATTATTACCTCATTTATATATCTAAGAAGTTTTCTTTCCTTTTGTATTAAAAACTCTATTTTTGTACTAAAAGTACTAAGTATTATTTTATAAATACATATTAACTTATTATTTATATCTATCTAAATTATTATAAAAGCACGAATATTTTACGTTAAATGTTGGTAGACCAAAATATCCTTATAATATTGATTGTGTTATGAAATAATAAAAGAATAAGAAGAGTATTGCAGAGAAAAGTAGGGAGAGAGAATTCTTATTGATATGGGATGAATTACAATAGAATAGAACCATCTATTTATAGGGAGAGGCTGACTTAGCCACCAAGCAATGAACCCTAGAATCTCTCTAAATATAGACATTCACCAAAAATACAATTTTATTTATAACACTCCCCCTTGAATGTCTATTCAACAGATAATGTGCCTCGTTAAAACCTTAACTAAAATAAAACCCAGTGGGAAAAAAATTCTAGAGAAGGAAAAAGAGTACACATATCTAACAATACGCCTTTTGGGTGCCTCGTTAAAAACCTTGCAAGAAAAATCCAGTGGGACAAAACCTTGTAAGGGAAAAAGAGTACAACGCGTATTAACTCCCCCTGATGAGAGCATCAATTCACATCCTTAAGCATTTGCATTCCAATCTTGTGCACCATCTTCAAAAGATCTTTGGTAGAGATTTGATGAACAAATCGATATTAACTTGAATGAATATATTGCACCTTTAAATCATCATTCTTGATAGAGATATAATGTCTTCATAAATATCGTAGAATGGCTCTTCAATATCTCTATGGAGGTATTCTCGCTATCTCATTATCATGCTTATAGTTATAGCAAGATACATATATGCACAAATTGCAATGAGGATGTGGTACTTCAAGATCAAGAATTGTATATGCTTCAAGCAATTTAAATCTTTCAGGGGTCTCATAAGTTAAGCCATATAAGTCATATAATAGACTTTAATTAGATGCATATCAAGGTTTCATGTCATGCTAGACAAATAAGATATCGAAAACTGATTGCACATACCATTGACTTATACTTTCAAGTATTTGAACTACATGTTCAAAACTACATGTCTTTCATATGAAACCAATTCTATTCGAATTGTTTCTTCAGACTTAAGATCCTCATATATATATTTAACCCGATTCCCTTTCGGAGTACGCGCGAAACCGCGCTATCTCGTCGGGTTCCCCGACCCTTGGATCGACTAACCCATGTGCAGTGCCGTTCACATGGA